TGGGATTTAGTGGCCAAGTACTGAGGTGCAGGGTGTGCTTCTAGGCAAGAGTTTCCTCCAGTTACTTACAGTCTTTGCCAGGACAATCTGACACAAAAACAAGCCCAATAATTTAAGAAATGGTCATTGGATAAAAGGGAAGCTTAAAAAGAATGAATTATTAAAACATTTGTTCTGGGCACGTATTATGTAATGTATATATTATATATAATTTATATTTATTATGGTGTATATAGTTGTACATGCAATATATATAATGTGATATATATAACGCAATTACTACATTATTGCCCTGAAAATATAGGTCAGAGGAGACTTGAAATTCAATACATTTAGAATCAAATATTCTTAAATTACTAGAGATACATTAAATGTAGGTACTTCATTGGATTTTATTGTCACTTCACATATCCTTTTAAAAAGTTAGGGTACAGTGACAAATCTATGTTATAAAAAGGTTATGTGTCAGAGTTGTATATTTTGGGATTATATCCTAACACACGACTTCTTTACAGCCTTATTACTGTGTTGCTGTTGAAACCATTTACTGAATTATGTTTCAAGGTATGGTACGACTTTCAAACATACATAAGGTTTCTGTGATAACTTTTTACCTACTCATGTTATAAAACAGAATTGTTTCAGTTTTACATTTAAGGTAATCTTTTTATTTTATTTTCCCCATTTCAGTGGTCTCTAACTTGTCTTGCTAGGTTACCTCCTTTTAAAGTTATTTTCTTCCTTTTTTACAAAGAAAAATGAAATTCTTTTTTCTTTTTTGCCATGTTTTTCTTTTTTTATTCTAGGACTACTGTTACCACTTCATTTGCCTGGACTTACTTGCACAGCATGATTTTTGATCATCCACTTGAAATCCAAACATTAGAAATCCTTGCATTAGAAGGTGACCCAGGCATTCTTTTGTCTTCTGTGCCTGAGTATTTACATACTGAAATAGTCATGGTTAAATGGTTGCATACGGACATGCATAGGATTATAATTTATTTTCCTTTGATGTTTCCTTAATATCTTAATTAAGCTTTCATGTTCATTTTCTTTTTGAAATCATATGTGTAGATGGTTAGCCATGAACTTCAGTTCAGATGGCATGAGGGCATTAAAAAGTGGCCTTTTGTTCTAGTAGATTGGAAGGCCACCACTGAAAGCAACCCTTAAATGCTTTGAAGTTGCCTTAAGGTAGGTAACTATTTGCCTGTTTGCCTGGAACAATTGGGGTTTACTCCTATTGCCCTGTTAGTTGTATCTCTTTCAGTGCCTGAGAGTCCTGGTTTGAGTGACACATCATCTCAGCACACATTTTTAGAAGCATTTCTCCTCCTTACAGTCTTAACCATACTATTCACTTTTTGAGTCCCGTGTTGTTTCCGTTCAGTCTTTCTATATCCTCTGACAGAGTCCCTGGTTTACTTCTATCCTCCCCTCTATTGACCTTTTCACTCCTAAAGCCTGCCAGCATTCTTTTACTTGTCCTTGAAAAATCTAAGATGTGTGGTTAAAATTCCTTCAGTGTCTTGCTCTTCTCATTTCCTTGCCAACTTGAACCTGTCTTCACCGGTTCTCTTAACTGGCTCTTCTAATTTTGGCATTCAACCTTAATCCCCTTTCCATTTATTTTTCAGCACAGTCTAACTATTCTGCCAGATTTTCATACTTTTGCAAAATTAATCTTGCCTTATCTAACAGTTTGCAACTTAAAATTTTTCCCCATAAATAGACTTTGGTAGTTATTTTAGCCCAAGTTCTCTTTGTTTTGATGCAAACTCTTTGGTTATAACTCACATTAAAAAAGCATTCCTCACATTCACTTGTAGCTGGCTGCTTTTTGTGTCGCCTTGAATTGTACCATAAATTATTCTTACTCTGACAGAGGAGCACCTCTACATAACATTCTTCTGCTGGTTTTATGTGGAAGTGCCACATTTTTGCTAAGATGTTTGACTTCTAAGAGTTTTCATTGTGGTAAGATTTATCCTCAAAGCCATTTTAAATTGTGCAATTCTGTATCACTAAGTATAATGCTGTGCAACTATTACCACTATCTAATTCTAAAACTTGATTATCCCAAGTGGAACCCCCATACCCATTGAGTTTTTCTTTCCCACCTTCTCCTCCCCCGGGACCTGCCAACTATTTACATTTCATATAGAAGGAATCTTACAGTATGTGGCCCTTTGCATATGGCCTCCTTCACTTGACATACTTTTCAAGGTTCATCTATGCTATAAAATCTATCAGTGTTTCATTCCTTTGTATACCTGAGTCACATTTCATGGTATGAACAGATCCCATTTTGTGTTCATCAGTTGATTAGTCTAATATTGATCAAATCTACAGTGGTATTAATGAGTGCAATGAATAGTACAATAGGGGAGAGTGTTATAGACCAGCTGTGTGGATACTGCTGTCATGTAGAGTGTGTGTGAGAAGCCCTGTCTATTCTGTTTCCATGCCAGAATTTACTTCCTGTCTTTTCTGCTACACTTTTTTCCTTTTATCTTTTTTCTTTTTTTGTGTGACTAGATTTGTGCTTTTTGTTTACAGTTGTGTTCATGGGTTTCAGAAAATACAGATGAATAAATGAATAAAATTATTAGGAGTCCTAACACCAAAAAATAATCACTATTAATAATATTTTGAAATCTTTTCTTCTAATCATTTTCTGATGCATGGGTATTTTAGTTTCACCAAATTAGGATTACAGTGAATAGATATTTCATATGTTGCTCTTTTATTTCATAAAACTCATTTATTTAACACAAATTTGAATGCGTACAATGTGCTGGGGATTGTTGTAGATATCTTTGATGAGTGAAAGACACTTAAATTGAGTGACCTATAGTTTCGATTTTTTTCTTAAATATCAAATTCAATGTTCACCCAGCAGTACTATTGCAGGCATTTGGGTCATCAGCATTCAGGTGATGCTTAAAGCTATGGAACTGAGACCTCCTGGGGATCTACCTAGCGCTAGAAAGGGCCCAGGAGTTACCCTGAGGGCACTGCAATGCTGGATGATGGATAGAAAAGGAGGTGGAAGGAGGACAGCAACCTGATAGAAGCAGAGTCTCAAAGATGAAGTGCATTGAAGTGGGGCCCCCATGTCATATGCTACCAACATCTGAGTGAGGACAGGTCAGAGAATTAACCACTAGGGTTGGCAACATGGTAGTCATTTTGGAGCTCAGTGGATAGGTGAGAATCATAACCCAGTTGGAGTGCACTTGGGAACAAATGAGGTACTATCTAACACATTTCTGCGTGTATTGGCTACTCTTTTGTTGGTGGTGGGCCTTGCACATGCTAGGCAAGGAATCTACTAACTGCTGCATTCTCCAGCTTCTGTTTTCTCTGTTCTTAAATTTAATTTCATGACAGAAGAAAGTATAATTGAACATTTTATTTAACCAGTTATTCTCTTTCTGCTGAGTGACATATATGTTAATTCCAGTTTTTGCCATTATCTATTACAAGAAGATCAACGTACACAGCTCTGTAAACTTTTTTCTATTTTTAGCACCACCTCCTTTGAATGGAGTCATAGAAGGGGAGATGCTGGTGCAAGAGCAGAGCATCTTTAGAGCTTATGATTTTTACTTACTGAAATATTTTCTGGGGAACTGAACAGTTGCTGCTCCTCTGGCAGTGAGAGTCCCAGCAGTTTGACCATTAGGCCCTTCCAAAGCAGGCCTGTCCTTTTATCAGTTTAGAAGTTCTAACCTTGAACAGAGAATGCAATGACAAGAGCTAAATTATGTTGTGGAATGAAAACTAGACACAGATCACTAAGTAGTTGTGTTAAACAGAGACATGTGTGTAGCAACTGCCAATAATGGAGCCACAACTTAATTATGGAATCCCTTTTCAGGAAGGTTCTGGTAAAACCTCAGACCCTGCAGGTATAGCTAAGGGAATACTTAGGGGGTTCTCCTCCTCCACTCCTGTGTTCCTACATTGTTGTATAAATGTGATCAGTGTGAGAGTTTAAGGAAACTGACCCATTTCCAGTAAACACCCTCCAAATTCTCCATCACAGATACCTACTCACATCAGAGAGTGACCTCTGCCCTTTCCTTTCCACATGTGCTTGGATAGGGTTTTGTAAACATTCCCTGCTTATGGCAAAAAAGAGAACAACATCTAGGGGATCACCATCTCAAAAATGTCCTCTCTACCTCCCTCTATGCCAAAAAAACAGGAAAGCCAAAAGAAATAACTCACTAATTATTTCCTGGTCACCCAGTGAATTGCCCCACCCTAGCTGCAGCAGCTGGATAAAACAAGCTGGCCCCAGCTGTCTGTCTGAGTTTGCTGTTTAACTGCTTCCTAACAAGCACTACCCCAAGGAAGCACTTCCACAAGGAAGCACTTCCACTCATCAGCTTCTCACCCAGCCTGGCAGTGCCCAGTGGGCAGCACCACAGATTCAGGGTAGGTGCTGGCTGCACTGTGGTTCATCAGCAGTGATCCTTCCTGCTCCATTTGTTTGCTATTTGCTGGACCTTCCTCAGGTGGAGTGCTGTATCAGTGGTGAACTAACCCAGTAAGAGATGTAAGTGGGCACCTCCCTCCCTCCCTTGAAATATGTCATGTTCTGGAGAGGTCCTGGATTCCCATAATTAATTCCCACAATGGATGGTCCAGGGTGACACTTTCCAACTCAGCAGAATGGTTGAGTGTTCTAGAACCCATTCCTGCACTGTTTCTGACTCTATGACCTTGCGTAGGTGACTTAAATTCTCTGAATCTTATTTTTCTCACCCATTTCACATAGAGGATAGTGTACTACCAGCCACATTAAGTTATTATGAGAAATTCACATGATAGATGTGTGTGAAGTACCTAGCCTAGTACCCTGGAGACGTAGCGCATGCTCACAAGAGTGAACTGTTACTGCCATTATCCACTGTCCCCTGTTGTCAAATCATCTGACTGTAGCTCAGACCTAACTCTTGACCCCTCTTGTTGTTTCATAATGGCAGAGAGTTTTGCGAAGAAGCCTGGTCATCCTGTTGTTTCCAAAACTCTGGGGTAAGTTCTGTGATGTCTAAGCCAGAGTAAAGATTGGGTTGGCTTTTCCTGCTGACTTGACCAGGATAGGTCCATGGAGTAAGTCTTCTTGGGTATCCTAGGTTGTAACAACTAAAGGGTGGGAGCCTCCATGGGTAGAAATGTTAAAGAAGTGCATTGCATTAATATTATCCCTCAGTTACTGAGGACAGATCAGGCTCGCAATCTCCCAAACAAGTGCATGGCAAAGGTTTAAATAAAAGAGTCAAGTGGTATGATTTTAGGACTCCAGGAGGTTCAAAACCCTTTAACAGAATTCAAGATTCTCTGGAGGCTAAGAGAAGAGAACTTCTCTGGGTGGCCATATTTATTTGGTTTTCAAACAAAGGATGGGGCATACTAAAGAAAGTGTGGGAATCTGACCAGGACTTTGGGAGTCTTTCAAGAACTTCTCCAAATAATACATTATGTTAATTTAGGAGAACTATGTTATCTCCAGGAAGGCCTTTACCCACTGGGAGTGAGAGCCCTGTGGCTACAGTCTTTATCTAGGCAATTGAGGTTGAAGCCAGAGGTCCTAAGCTGTGGCCTTGTCTTGTCCTTTGAGGCATCAAGGCTTCATAGGCTACGGCAAGCCTCAGCGGGGACCAGTGACTCCTAGAGCTTTACTTACTACAAATCCACTGCCTATCTCCAGACAAGGGGCCTACATAGACAGACTCACAAGTAAACTTGGAAAGCCAATTGATTAATTTTAAATCAGGCTCAGAGCAGCTTCATAGTGGTCTCCAGCAGAAGTGGAGATATGACCATAGTCTGCAGGGGACTCTAACACAGGCAAGTCAGAAGGTTTCAGTGACCAGACTTGACTAGGCAAGTAACAGTAGCTGCTGTCACAGAGAAGCTCCAAAGGCAGTGATTCAATACAGAGGAAGCTTATTTTTCAGTGAAGGGAAGCTCAGTCCAGATGCTCTTGAGCAGATCAGGATCTTTCCATGTCCTCTTCCAGGAGCCAAGGTTTCTTCCTCCATTTGCTAAGCCCATCTCCTGGAGCCTCTGAATCTAGCCACTAGAGGGGGCAAGAAAGAGCATGGATAATCTTGTAGGAGTTTCCCCTGAGTCAACCCTGGCAGTCGCATATAACACTTTCACTTACGGTCTGTTGTCCAAAACCCAGGCATTTGGCAGAGTTTAGTAGAATTCAGGTATCCCTAGCTACAAGAGAGTCAGGGAAATTAATTGTAGTTGCACACCCAGCAGGTATAGGCAATAGGTTTTGGTGACACACATGTTTCCAGAGGGGGCAGGAGAAAGTGTTTCAGGTATAGCATTGAGAAGGCTAAGGCACTTGGATAGGGTGGAGAGATTGAATGACTAACTTGTTAGGGCTGGATTCTCTGGTGACTTCTTTCCAGGGACAGATTTTCAGCCTCAGCAGTGGAAACTCGTCCTAGCATCTGGGGCGAATGCCCACCAAAGTTTGCTACCAAGTTGGGCCGAGCGGTGGTCAAAGAAGGACAAATGGGGCGATTCTCCTGCAAGGTCACTGGCCGTCCCCAACCTCAGGTCACCTGGCTCAAGGTAAGGTTTTGTCTGCCTGGCTCTCAGAAGTCTGCAAGGTCAGGGTTAGACACTTAAATGAGTAGAAGTCTGTCTTTCTAATCAGTTCCCTCGATTTTAGCAGTAGGTAATTCTCAAGGGTTCTCTCTATGTTGGATAGTGATGCTTGTGTTTGACCATTTGCACTCTCTCCCTCTATTATTCACACCACAGAGTTCCTGTAATCATCACACTCAGAAAACAGCATAAAACTTCTGAGTTCAGACCTAAACATTTCAAGAGGGTAGAGTTTGAAGTTAGGATGCTAAGTTTAAGGCCATAGCTCCTGTTCACAAAGCATGTCACCCAGGACAGGTCATATGATCTCTGGAACCCTGTTTCTTCATCTGTGAAGTAGAAATAGTACTGCCTGCCTTAGAATGTTGGGATACTCCAGGCAGAAGTGCTTTAGCAATCATTCAGGGCTGGGGAAGTGAAGAGAGGTGGAAGAGGCAATGAGACAGGGTGATGATGGGCAGGATAGTGAGAAACATCTGAAACAGGCAAGGGAGAAGCAAGGAACTGAAGTTAGGAATTCAGGATTTCCTATCTCAAGTTCAGGCTCCTTTGAAACATTTCCCAGGCATCTGCTCTAAGCTGGACCCAAAACAACCTCCTATACATAGACCTCAAAGCAGGATGCTCAGCTGGTCTAGCCTGTCCTCTGAGTGTGACAGCCCAGAGCAGAGATCTGTCCCACAGGACTAGCAGAAGGCAGATAGTGCCAAAAGGTGAACAGACTTCTGTGCTGAAGCTACCCTATTGCCATCCACAGGGAAATGTCCCACTGCAGCCGAGCGCCCGTGTGTCTATGTCAGAGAAGAATGGGATGCAGGTCCTGGAAATCCATGAGGTCACCCAGGATGATGTGGGCATGTACACGTGCATGGTGGTGAATGGGTCAGGAAAGGCCTCCATGTCGGCAGAGCTCTCCATCCCAGGTATGGAGGTATGGTGCAGAGGGACCCCTTCCTGGTGTCCTACAGGATGTTTGTTCCTTACTTACCCATGTGCTCTTCTGGGGGGGGGGGTTTGACAAGAAAGAAGTAGATTGGGCCAGCAGTGCTGACCTGGCCTCTAGAGAAAGAGCCAATGAATCTGGCTCTAGAAAAAGAGCAAAGAGTTCATTGCTCTTTCTGACCCTACACTTGACCCCAGCCCTGTCTTCAGTCCTTCCTTCTTGCTCACACACCTTATTTGTACCTTCATTGATTGAAGGAGTGGATGTTGCTGATTTCTTGCCATCATCCCTACCTAAATTTAGTTTATTATCCACACTCTGTCCTTCAAACCCAGTGTGCCCTCAACTTAACTCGTTCCATCCAGGATTCCCATGTTCTTCCCACCACACTGGTTAGCATCCTTCTCACAGTTGCCTGTCTCGCGCTTGGGTCATCATACATTGTCGGTGTTTCCTTCGGTGTCTCTCTGAACATGTATCCTCCATATGCTCCTCTCAGTTGCCCCCAGTGCAGCCTGGGGAAGCCACAGCATGCACATGGGGAGGGCGCTGAATGTCACGGCACTGGACATGATTTCCAGTGGTCACAGACTGTATTGGTCACAGAAATGAGCTGTAGCTTGAGGCTCAGGAAGGGAAGTGACTTCACTCTTTCCTCCTCTCTTTCCTCTTTCCTTCTATGACTTTTCTCCTTTGCATCTCCTTCCTTTCTCAGAAACTGTGTCACCTTTCTGCATTTACCTTTTTTTTGGCTCAAGTGTTTTTCATAATCCACAGAAAGAAATTTATTTTACATTGCAACCCAGAACACATGTGCATATATAGATACATTTAATTGAGACAATTTTCATGAAACAGTCCTGACTCATTCTATACACAGTGCATACTGGTATATGTTCTATTCCAGTGGAACCCTTAAAACAATAAATCCTGGTTCTGATCAAATAATGTGACTTCACATCTCCCTGCAGGTGAGGACTTGCCATCAGGCATCTGGAGCAGGATTCCAACCAGTGTTCCTTCACTTACCCAGCCTTGAGTTTTAAAATGCACTTAGTAACAGAATGATATGTTGCCTGAGATTTGTTGTAAAGTATAGTAAACCCCTGATTTATGAATGAGGTCCATTCTGGGAGAATGTTCATAAGTTAGATTCGTTCATAAGTCTGACAAAGTGAGTCTTATACACCTTTAGCACGAATATACAATGTAAATCATAAAAAACAAACACACACAATTACTGCACACTATCACACTGTACAGTAAACACACAGCAGCATAACTGTGACAAAGTCGAGCAGACACATAAGCTACTTCTGTGATTTGTTCGCATCTTATGAATGTTCATAATGCAAGGTCCAGTCATACCTGTGAAAGCTCACAACTCAAATGTTCATAACTCAGGGACTTAACATACCAACAAAACAAGACAAAAAAGGATAGATAGGCCTGGGGAATGTTGCTGTGTCCATAGACTTGCTGATAGCTTTGAAGGTTTGTGATATCTTTCTCTCTACTGTTGTATATTTTTTTAATTTTCTGAGATAAAGTTAAAAAAGAACATCGCAGGAAAATAATATATCATCTATTTTTCTTGAAAGAACAGAATAAAATTATACTTCATATGTTTGTAAAGCATGTATTTGTCCAGACTGAACACTTCAAGGGGTCTGTTTTTGAAGGCTACAGATACATTTAAGTGTTTGGGTCTGAAATTTTCAGTAGATGGATTGTGTTAGTTTGTCCCTCCCTTGACTTTTGCTTCTTCTGTTGAGTGAAGAGGAAGAGATTCTTGCCCAGAAACTCCAGCCCCTGTCAGAAGCCATGGAGGGCCACCCTGAACACCTGAACGGTCTCTCCAGGGCTGAGAATTTCTCAGACCAACCAAAGAGGTTCAGCACCAGCAAGGCTGCAAGCAGTGAACTGGGTGGGACTGTCGTGGCACAGTTGAAAACTCTGTAGTAAAAGGAAGGGATGATACCTTGTCATTTTCTCCTCTAGGCATATAAAATATTCCACTAACTGTCTCTTTGTCCCCTCTTCTTCCAGGTTTGGACAGTGCCAGCAGGTATGTCTAGGCTTTGTGATTCTTATTTTCCACCTTGAGATATCTTTGCAAGGAAAGGAGGGAGTCATGAAAAAATGCCCTGAATTTTCCAAGTCATCATGTAGCAGGGAAGATTTGACTGAGTTTAGGGGTGTTTTTATTTAGGGTGCTTTTAGTTGGGATGGTCTGCTTTGTTCTCCTTTCCAGTATGCCCTCCAGTTCTGAATGAAGCTTGCTGTCAGTATCAAGACCCTTGAAAATTCCATGCTGCCATCTTTCTCTGTAGCCCCAAGTTAGCCATGCTTGGGAAGACTTTACACACACCAGGCCACAAGCCTCAGGCTCGCTCAGCCCGTAGTCTGAGGCACTTTCTCTCCTGTATGTGAGGTCCAGAACTAGGCCTTGATACACAGGGTGAGCCAGCTGTCTACTGTGAGCAGAGCTTACACAGTTACACAGATGCATACTTACTCTTGTGACCTGTCTGTAATGAAGAATGACAGAGACACTAATTCAGATTTCAAGGCTAGGAGAACCCTTTCTGCAGACTCCATATTTGAGCTCATACCTATGAATTGTAATTTTATCAGGCAAAGAAAAAACCAAAGAGAATGTGTTCCAAATGGAAGGAACAGCGTGTGTGAGCTCTGAAAGGAGAGGGCCTGTGGGGCCCAGAGGGCCACTGGTGTGGCACAGACAATGTGACAGTGTCTTCTGAGGGCCCACAGGGAGCTGGAGCCAGCTCACTTAAGGTCATCTTACAAGACTATTTTAATCTTAAGAGAGTGGAAAGCATGTGGAAAACTGTGGGGCTTCAAGTATTATAATTTATGTCTTTGAAAGATTAACTACACTTGCTGAGTAGGATTGGATTAGAGGGGGGCTGTGAGAGCAGGGGGTGCCAGCTGGGTGCCTTGAGAACAGAAGTGCAGATAAATGTCACTCTGGATGGAGATAAGGACAGAGAAGCATCGAGAAGAGCCCCGGAGCTCTGACTCAAGACACTGAGCAAACTGTAGAGAAAAGCTTCTGCTCTTGCTTGCCCCTAATCTGTAAGCTTTTGTGAGCCCTGCAATCTGTGCTTCTGAGCAGAATGTTTGTGAGTAACCAGATGATCACTCTGTCCCTTCTCCTCCCTCCATACCCACCACCACACCTCAGGTCCTTTGTGAGAGGAACAAAGGCCCCCAATGCAGACATCAGGAGGGAGGTGACCAATGGAATCACAAAGGGGCTGAAACTGGACAGCATGGAGACAATGGCCGGAAGTAAGACTAGCCTACACAAAAGTGGCTCTCTGGCCTGGGTCGCAAACAGCCCATCACATGAGCCTAAACCAGAGCTATGTGGGGACTCCCCCAGAAAGGTCCTACAGACTCCCCTTCTACAGAAGACTCCCAGCACCATCACTCTGCAGGCCTCAAAAGTCCAGGCAGAACCCAGAGCACCAGCCGTGGGGGCTCTGTCTCTTTCCGGAGAAGAGAAGAAGAGACCAGCTGCTGCCCGGCCAAGCACCCTCCCCACCAGATGGTCTGGCCTGGAAAGCCCAGAAGTTGTGAGCACAGTTGCCACTCGGAAAACCCCCATGGAGAGCCAGAGAGAGTCAACATTGCCCCAGTTTGAGAGCAAGCCCCAAAGCCTGGAAGTCTGTGAACATGAAGCAGTCAAGTTCAGGTGTGATGGTGAGTAGAGCTGGTGAAGTTCCCGGCTCCCAGAAGCCAGGCCCTTAATGGCCACTCCACTGCTTCAGCACCTCCTATATCCACCCACTCCCTTCATGAGTCCCACACAATGGCGTCTTCCAGGGGTCTTCCCTTCAGGAGGACTTAATCTAGAAAAGGCCTTCATTCTGGAGAGACAACAACATTGGTCTGTTGTTGCTTGTAAAGTGCAGCATCAGCCCTGTGCCCTAATTTGTACCACCCTAGAAGGAACATGACCCTCACCATTGCCATCATCAGAACACCAATGGCCATTTCCTCCTCTCTCTTCCTCTTCCTGGCCTTGGCCAACCATCCCACTCACATTCCCCTTCCCCAGGACTTTGACTCATCTTTATTCTCTTGGAGGGTGAGGTCAGGTTAAGGAAGTAGCGGGAGTGGGAAGGAGCCCCACCCCGCCCGAGCAGTTTCTCCCACTTGGAAAGCACAGTGTGCCTCCCTCGGACAGAGGGCCTCATGTTCTTCACCTGCCTATAGTTTCAGGGTTCCCGAAACCTGAAGTGGCCTGGTTCCTGGAAGGCATGCCTGTGCGGACAAGAGAAGGCACCACTGAAGTTTATGAGGATGGGGGATCCTATTACTTCTGCCTTCTGAGAGCCCGGACCAGAGACAGTGGACGGTACAGCTGCACAGCTTCCAACAGCCGAGGCCAGGTGTCCTGCAGCTGGACCCTCCGAGTGGAAAGTAAGTGCATCCCTCCCAGACCCCAGCTTCTCAGGGGTGCTTCACATGTTGCAATTGCTTCAGCTCCTAAGCTGTGCTTCCAAAGGCTCCAGCGGAACATCATTCCCACCTACTTGCCAAAGCCTAATATATTGCTCCTGGTGGGAGGTTTCTGTTGTTGTTGTTGTTGGTTTTGTTTGTTTGCTTGTTTGTTTATGCTGGGCATTGAACCCAGAGCCTTGGCACTGAGCTACATTCCCAGCTCATTTTTTTGGCAGGTTTGCAAGTAGGCAATCTGAGAGTATTATTCAGTTCGGGCTGTTGATTGGCTGCTGCCCTGTAACCCATCTCTACAGATGCACCAACATTCCTGCATCAAAACAGGTTGCTGTACTGTGTGTAGTATCTCAAATGTTCTCTGTTTTGTTATTCTTAAAGCCTTAGGATCTCTAAGATGCCACCAAAACACCCTGCACTGTCAAAGGTTTTATTAATACAATATTTTATTAAATGAAATTGCACAGCAGGACATATGGCATATTTAGGGTTTAAACTATAAAAGTGGGCGTGTATAGGTATTTTTCTGACCGTTTCTCAAGTTGTGATTTTTCACAATTAGTAGGAACTCTAGGAATGTAACCCCTGTGAATTTAAGGGGTCCACTGTAAATACATTTTCTTTATCCATGGATCTTTTGATGGGCATATGGACCATTTCCAAGATTTAGCTATTATAAATTGGGCTGCTATAAACATAGTTATGCATATATCACTGTGATATGATGCTTTTAACTCCTTCAGGAAGATACCGAGGAAGGGGACAGCTGGGTCAAATGGAACCTCTAGTTTTAGTTTTTGTGGTTTTTTTTTTGTTTTTTTTTTTTGTTTTGTTTTTCTCCGGTACCGGGAACCGAACTCACGACCTTGTGCTTGCCAGGCAGGCGCTTTTGCCGCTGAGCTAAATCCCCAGCCCCAAAGTTTAGTTTTAGTTTTTTGAGGAGTGCCCATACTGATTTTCATAGTGATTGTACTAATTTACATTCCCACCAACAATAGCAAAGAGTTCCTTTTTCCCCATAGCCTCACCAGCATTTGTTACTGGATGATTTCTTGATGACAGCTGTTCTTTCTGGAGTAAGATGGAGTCTCAACATTGCTTGGCCCCTTCTGAGTGAGTTTAGGATTGTTTCTGCGTCTTCTATTCTGTTCCACTGATACTCAGGTCTATTTTTTCCTGCTAGTATGGTGCTGTTTTTGTCATGGTAGCTTTCCAGTATAACTTCAAATCAGGAATTGTGATGCCCCCTGCCTTGCCCTTGTTGTTAAGAATTATTTTTGCTATTCTTGGTGTCTTCTGGTTCCATATGAACTTTAGGATTATTTTCTCCAGTTTTTTGAAGTATGCTATTGGTATTTTGATTTGGAATGTATTAAATCTGTGTAATAGTTTTGGGAAGTGTGCCTATTTTCACTGTATTGATTCTGCTTATCCAAGAACAGGGAATGTCTTTCCATTTTTTTATATGCTCTTCAATCTCCTTCTTCAGAGTACTATAATTTTCAATATAAAAGTCTTTTACTTCCTTCACTAGATTAATTCCTAAGTATTTTTTATTCTATTGTGAAAGATATGGATTCCCTAATTTGTGTCTCAATGAGTTTATTTATGTGCAGGAATGTTACTGACTTTTGAGTGTTGACTTTGTGTCCAGCTATGCTACTATATTTGGTTATTAAATCTAGAAGTCTTTTGGTGATTTTGGGTCTTCTGTGTAGAATACCATGTCATCCACAAATAATGATAATTTAACTTCTTCCTTTCTGATCTTTATTCATTTTATTTCTTTCTCTAGTGTAATTGCTCTAGATGTTTCCAGAATTATATTGAGTAAGAGTGGTGATAGGGGGTATCCCTGCCTTGTTCCTGATTTTAGAGTGAAAGCTTTCAGTTTTTGTTCATTTATGCAATACTAAATGCTAAACATAATAGTTAGTTGTTGGTTTGTCATAAACGGCTTTTATCAGATTGAGATGAAGACCATCTATTCCAATTTTCTGTAGGGTTTTTATCAAGAATGTGTGTTGGACTTGGTCAAAGCTCTTTCTACAGCTATTGAGATGATCATGTGGTTTTTATCCTTGGCTCTGTTAATATAGTGTATTATATTTTTTGATTTGCATATATTGAACCATCCCTGCATTCCTGGAATGAATTCTACTTGGTTATGGTATATAATCTTCTTGATGATTTGCTGTACTCTGCTTGCCAGTTTCTTATTCAAGATTTTTGCCTTTGTGTTCATTAGGGAGGTTGGCCTGTAGTTCTCTTTTCTGGTTGGATCCTTATCTGCTTTTGCTATCAGGGTAATGCTTGCTTCCAGTTTGGGAACACTGCTTCCTTTTCAATTTCATTAAAGAGTTTAAGGAGTAGTGGCGTCAGATCTTCTCTAAATTTCTCGTAGATTTTTTTTAATCAGGGTTATTTGGAGTTCCATATGCCTCACTTAGTGTGTGTCAAATTCTCTTTCCTTGCTTGGGAAATTTTCTGCTGTTGCTTCTGTGAACAGGTTTTTTTATATCATTTGTGCTATCTCCTCCTTTGTCATTGACTCCAGTGAATCTTGTGTTACTCTTCTATGCATCATCTAGCCTCTGTTGGATTGATTTTTCATGGACCCTTGCTATTTTTAAGAAATCTTACTTTTTATGATCACTAACCTCAATCCTGTCTTCTAGATCTGATCATCTGTCTTCAAATTGGTTATTCTACTTCATATATTTCAATGGAATTTTTAATCTCCTGGATATCTGTTTGAACCTGTCTATGGATTCCATTTCTTTACTATGTTGGACATTCATGGTTTCCATCATTTTCCTAAATTCCTTTACTTTTTATCTGTATCTACTCTAGATTCACTATGTCCTCCATGTCCTTTATTGTGGTCATTGTTTCTGTAGTTATCTGAGAAATTATTTTTCCTTTGATTTTTTCCTATAGCCTCATTCATCTGCTTTGTTACTTTCATTGTTACCACTTCAGAGACACAAGATGGGTGGCTTTTGAATTGTTCCACCTCATTGCCCCCTGGGTTTGACTTTGACAAGCTGGAAGTCTGGGGTTGCATCTTGTTTTTGTGTCTTCTCATTCTATTTTCTTTTAGTTTAATTCCTGAGTTGATGGTTATAAATTGCTTATGGTAGGTAGCTTTATTGCTAGTATCCAGAATCTTAAATTACTGTTTCTCAGAGGTGTCTTCCAGGTATAAGTGGCTTTTGGATTTTGTGTCTTTTGCAAGATCCTACCTCTTCAATTTATTGTGAATGAGAAATTCCTGCCTCTTTGTCCTAGTCCCTGGTTCTTTGGCACTACCCTATAGTATTGTTTATGACCTTCAGGCAATCTCAGTCTTGGCATACAAGGAACAACTAATTAGAATAATTATGTCACCTTGGCAAGAGTAGTACAATCAGCAATAACAATAGTGTCAAAGACAGCCTAGAAAATGACAAATAGTGGTAACTTTTAATTTGCCACCTTTAATATATGGACAAGATTTGCAGCTATATAACAAAATCTAAAACAAACCAGAAAATTGTATACAGAAAATATCTTCTCAGTATGGCAATTTTCCCCTCAGGGGAGAAAACTTTTAAAAGGTTAGGGTAAAAATAGAGAAATAAAAGAAGAGAAAGAGATTAGGAGCAAGGCTGGAGGACAATGGAAGATTATGCAAGCTTTGGGAAAGTAGTAAAGAAGACAGAAGGAAAAAGAAGAACCAGAAACAAGAATAACAATAAAAACAGAAAAAAACCAAAAATTTAAAAAACTAGAAACAATATTTACACTTATAAAAATAATAAGAACACACAAGAAAAAGGGTTGAGGGGAGTAAAGAAAGGAAGAAAAGAAGGAGAAAAAGTCTGCTTTAGCACTTGTCTCAGCTGTCACTGGCAGACAGAGGGGGCAAACAGAACCCAGCTCTGTGTTGATTAATCCCAGCAAGCCAGCAGTAGAATTATTATGGGGTAGTGGATAATCCCAGCAAACCTATACCTTTAGTTCCACTGAAGTTTAGGCTACTTCTGGTTTCTGGCTATGAGGCTGGAACAAAAGCTGTTTACCCTGCAACGCTCTGGGTGCCTCCCTCCTACAGGCTTGACCTCCACTCCCTGACCTCCTGCTAGCTTGAAGTTGGCTGTACCTCACTCTGACACTGGGAGCTGCTAGATGAAGCCAACCTGAAGCTTCTCTGAGTTTTAAGTTCATTTGGCCCCTTTCCAAAGTGGTGATTGGCCAATTGCCCTCTTCTAGGAGATATCTAAACCAGAAAAGCTCACCAGCCACTGCAGTTTGCAGCATCTACTGCTCCCTTCTACTGGTACTTTTCTCCATGGAGCCTGCTAGGGTCACCAGTAGTCACTGTGCATTTGCAGTTTTGAGCTGCTCTTCCCATGCAGTAAACTAGGACTCAGAGAGAAAGTGCCTCTTTCCATGTCCCTCTTCTATGCTGAAGGCTCTCTCCCTGCTCTCCCTGTGGGCTTCAGTTCTCACTTCAGATCATTTCTGGGTCCATTTTCCTCCTTCTCTTACTCATGTTGCTATATTCCAGGGTCTGGACTCCAAATCTCAGAGAAGCTGTTTCTCTGCTGCTCACCACTCCAGCATCTTCCTGGAAGCTCCCTGATTCTTTGTGTTGTTTTCTTAGTCTCAGTTGCATTAATTTCTGCTCTAATCTTTGTAATCTCCTTTCCCATATGAGCTTTGGGTTTAACTTGCTCTTCTTTTTCTAGAACCTTGAGATTCAAAATAGGTTATTTACTTGAGTTTTCTCTGGGTTTTTTTTTTTTTATATGCATGGGAATTCACTCATGTTCCCAGGCCCCAGCCATTCTGAACCCTTGACCTGGGTGGAGGCACAAACCACACTTGGAAAATCAAACACATGTGAATCTTTGTCATTTTATTTCATTTCATTTCATTTCATTTCATTTCATTTCATTTCATTTCATGGAACTGGAAAAATAATCAAAATAATTTAAAATTAAAATATCCCTATTGTGGTCCTGTGGTGTTGACAAGTAAAAATGCAGTAACAAGACTGTGTGGTCACTGGTAGGACATGCAGGAGAAGAGAAGAGATGCTAGAAAGTAGAGTTACAACAAGCAGGAGCGAAGGGGATATCTCAGGATGCCCCAGGAAAGCAAATGCCACAAGCAGACAGGAGATGCCTGAGCCACAGTGAGGAAAAGGCCCCCTGGTCCTGCACACCCCTGAACTAGGGGGCCTTGTGACCATGGGAGGCCCCTGCCAGGTAGTCTGCCTTGAGCTCCGGGTGCCTGGGGCTGCTGCTTCCTAAGCATGAAGGTAGAAAGGGCACAGGTAGGCTATGGAGGAAGCCTGGTGCTGAGGGCAGCGTGCTGTCAGCCTGTGAGGCCTGAGGTAGCTCCAGTCAGTCACCACGTTGGGCAAGTAGTGGTCTGAGATGACTGTCTGTTCTTTCATCCTCACAGAGCCGGCTGCCATGAAGGTGGCTCCCTCCTTCTCCAGTGTCCTGAAGGACTGCACGGTCATTGAGGGCCAGGATTTTGTGCTGCAGTGCTCCGTGCAGGGGAGCCCAGTGCCCCAAATCACTTGGCTACTCAATGGTGAGTCCCCTGCCTCACCCAACCCCTCAAGCCCTTTGACCCTGCCTTAATTCTCACATCTCACTTTGCACCATGTACCCTTTAGGAGCACAGGGCGCAGAAAACGCAGGAATCAAGTCTGCTGCCAGCTGGCTGGGCATGTTTGCAAACTTCCAGAACCTTGTATCTTCATCTGCATGGTGTCAGTACTGTCACTGGCCTTGCAGGGTACTGGCTTTGAAATCAAATATATAAAGTGGTCAGTTAGATCCTTGACAGGTAGATGCATGAGCAATTTAACGTCTTCCTCTGGTCAGACTCAGAACAGGTCCTCATTAAGTATTTGTTCAGTCAATACATAAACATGTACATGAACAATTTAATGAGCCCCACTAGAAGTTGTTCAAGGAATCTTGCCTTTTACTTAATGGTAGGTGCTTGTGAGGTTCACAGACTAGTAATTCTTTGTTATGTTAATTATAATCCTATAAAAGCATGCCAACTCTTTTCTGGTTCTTAGCCAAGTAAGTCCTTTGAAGAAAATTGATCACCAAATATTATCACCCTTCTCTTTTTAAAAAAAATCTTTCAATTTCAAAAGTGTACAACAACTCTGATTTGATAACAGGACAATCCATTCAATGGATGAGCCTGGGCAGGGCCTGCATTGGGGAGAATGGACAAGCATCCACTGAGAGTCAGGAGGCCCGGGATGCTGGTCCTTTTCTACCACAGAGCAGTAAATGGGGGACCTGGGGCACCCACTTCATCTCTTTGGTACTTGCTTCAGTATGGGTGGGGAACAGGAAGAGAGAAGGTTCAGGATCTCAGCCAGCTTTCCTGTTGATAAAATATGCTCCTCAGCGACAGCAGCCATGACTTGTGCACCATACACTCCCCAGGTGTGTCCTTGCGCATGCCACATTGTCTGTGAACCTTCCATGTTGGTATAGTTTGCTCATGCTTTGAGTGGGAGGGTGCTGTGTACCCTTACCATATAGTCATTTTGGGTAGTTAAGTGAGAACTGAGGTCTGTCTTCCTGCCACACCTCAGGTAAGGACAGAACTCTTATAAGGGCCTGGGATTATTAAAAGACACAGCCCCCTTTTCCTTCTTTTCCTTGCAGTGAGAGCAGGGTATGGACACAAGGACTAATCATGTACCTGAGGAAGGGTTTCCCTTCTGGCTCAGGGCTTCCCTGCCCAGCTCAGAGTGTAGAAAAGTGGTGATAAATCTATGGCATGTGTGCCACAGTGAACTATTAATTTTCACTGAATGCTCTAAAAGGTTCACCATCACTGGTCTAGAGCAAGGGTGAACACCCATTCCTCTGAAGGGTCAGATAGTAAATCTCTTCAGCTTCTGCAGTCACTCAGCCTCTGTGACAGCTCCTCCACTCCATCATCACAGCTTAAAAATAGCATAGACAGTATTTGAATGAATGAGTATGGCTGTGTCATAATAAAGCTTTATTTATGATCACTGAAATGTGAATTCGGTGTAGTTTTCATGTGTCTTGAAATTTTCCTCTTTTCACTATTTTCAGCCATTTAAAATATGTAAAAATTACTCTTAGCTGGTAAGTTCTCCAGAAACAGGCCAGATTCAGTCCAAGGGCTGTGGTTTAGTTTGTATCCTGGTTTACACTCCTCAGGGCTGAATCCTTGGTAGGTCACCCTTCCCACTAGAGGGCGGTCATGTTCAAATTGGGTTTCCTTGGTTTCAGCTCTGGTCCAACCCAGTGTCCCTGCTGAGTTTCAAGACTCCCAGATTTGAAGTGCCCTGAACCCACAGCTCTTTTTGGGGAGCCTCCATTTCCTCCCTGGTTGTGGGGCTGAAATGAATTTCACTCCAATAAGTGGAGAGCTCTCACAGAGCTTGCCAGTGCACGTTTGGACTGCAGAGGCTCACTGACGACAGTCAGGGAATGTGCTGGTGATTTCAAGGAAGAGGTTTTGGGGATGTCATTGTCACAAAGAATAAAAGCAAGGAGCCATATCCAGGCCCTTCCGTGGCAGGACCCCAGCCCCTGCCTTTTCCCACCCTGCTTCATTTCATAGAGTGCGGTGGGTTGGGAAGTCCATCTTCCCTCCAGCCGTGGCGTGTGCGTGGCTGCCTCTTGCCAGACTGTTGCGGAGACATGAAGCGTTGCTATGTGCAGAAGAAAACACTGCATTGCGGGCAGAGCATTTCTTTCTGTACTGTCTCCCTCCCTACCACCCACCCCCGAGTTTATGAAGTGCAAACCAGGACCGCAGGGCCTGGCAAGGAAAGGGACTGACAGTTGCTTCCTATGTGGCAAACGGACACATTCCTGCTCTAACGCCAGAGTCTGCAGTAATGAGATCATTTTTTTTCCCCCTAGAAATAAAAGGTCATGTCCCGGAGTGATAAAATCTCAGGAACATATAATGTTAAGGAAACTACTAAAGTTCCCTGTAAGCATTTCTATCTGCATGCAGGACTTTAATCAAAGATCAAGGACTTCTCATAGAAGACCGGTCATTCTTCCTTCCCTATAGTTGTCTTTTCCATGATGCTGAGATGCACCTAACTGCACAGGAGAAATAAAACTAATTGAAAAACTGGGGTGCTTTCTGATAAATATCCACAATGGAAGAGGGAATCTTTGTTTCTGGAGACACCTAAAAGGAGCTGGGAGCCACATGTTCAGTCTGGGCAAGGTCTGCTCTGCCAGAACCTGGGCCAGGGGCCAAAGGACTCTGTAAGATTCTTTCCAGGCACTGAATTCTGTGAAGTTGAGAATATGGAATGGAGACTATTTTACTTAACACAGATTGCCCAGATCTGTGTCTCTTTCCCGCCTGCCTTCCAGATTCCTCCAGAATCCTTTCCCTTTGTGTTTCCAGCCCCAGCCTTGTCCACCATGGGCCTGGGCGAGCCCCAGCGTTGGCCCTGCTGAGGACAGGGCCCCTGTCCTGTCCCAGGTGCTCCCTGTCTCACCCTCCCTGTGCTTCCCTCCCCAGGGCAGCCTATCCAGTACGCGCACTCCACCTGCCGGGCTGGCGTGGCTGAGCTCCGGGTCCAGGACACTCTGCCAGAGGACGATGGCATCTATACCTGTCTGGCTGAGAACGCCTCAGGCCAAGTGTCCTGCAGCGCCAGGGTCACTGTCCATGGTAAGAGCCTCCAGGCCTCTCGCTGAAAGCACCTTTCCTGCAGACAGGTCCAGTAGCTCTGGAGAAAGGACACTTGTAGAAAACAGTACGGTTGGCCCAGATCCAGGGAGGTGCACATGGCATTACTCCAGTCCACGGACGGCAGGCACTGCTGCCACAGGGGAGAGGCTCTGGGAAACTCCTGGGGACAGAGAGGTGCCTTGGAAAGCCTATGCCCGACGGAAGTTCACACTGACAAGGGTCTGCCACAGAGCGAGCCAGTCCCCCACCTCTTTGTCCTGCTGGGGCCATGGGAAATGCCAGGGAAAGAGGCAAGAGACCCTGGCCCCCATGCTCCCAAGGGCCCCCCAAACTCCTGCCCCAGTAGGAAGAAAACTACCCACTCTACAAGAAGACCTCGGAGGCGGTCTCACAAATGCGCAGCTGCGCACTGGGAACAAAGTGTGGGCACTGAGGCTTTGGAGGACTGCGAGTTGCCCCTTCCTCTGCCCTTGCTCCTCCCACCACCCCCTGCTCACTTTTGCATCACCAGCCTGGAGCCCGGTAATCTGATTATCACAGGCATCCATTGATCAGCCAAGTGCTTAGTTCCTAGGAGTCACAGGAGCCACAGACTCTAGACGCATCCACCTGGGCTGTGGGATTGGTGGGCACAGCAGCAGTTCCTGGGGAGGTGCTTCTTGGGTCTGGGCCTTCAGGTAAGCCTGACTTTCACCCTCGCCTTAGGGCCCCCAGCGCCTGAGCACGACTGGGTCCTCTGGTGCAGGACTGCATGCAGTGTGCCTGCTTTCCCATTGGGCTAGCAGCAGACCACACCTCCTCTGTCTTTGTCCCCCCCACCTCAGGCCCTGAGAAAGAGCCCCTGCAGTGGGAGCAGCCACCCCGTGGGAGCTGCAGGAGATGGCTTTCCAGAAAGGAAAAGGAGTATAGCCCGCTCTTTAACCTCTCCTGTGGCACCTGCTGAGGCCCTCCACAGCTCAGGGGTGGAGCTGTGCCTGCTTTACACAGAAAGATCTAGAGGTGTTACAAAGTCAGTGTCACCCAGCCAAGTGCCCCATGCTGGCAGCACAGCTGGCCTTCTGAGGCAGGCTTTGGGATGGTGACACCTGGGCTCATCCTGTTGCTGCCCTTTTTCGGAGTGCATCTCCCCTGGCCCAGAGAGAGAGCTGGCCAATGTGGGGTGGGCCCCATCCATCCCTTATGGACAAAGGAACTTGTACCCGTGGAGCATGTGGCCCACACTGGCTCTCTGAGGCTCCCAGCTGCGAGTAGACCCAGCTTTCTCTGAAGAGGTACCCTGACATGGAGTCCTGTCTCAGTGAGCCAGCCCACCCCTTCCTTCCAGGAAGCCCTCTATGCTCCAGCCAGAGCCATGCTGGCCCCCAGGAGCTTCTGAGCCAAGGTTCTGGTGTGTACTTTTATCCCATTTGTCCTATGTTCTAATTCTATGGCTTGGGGTCCTCAGGAGACTGTGCTGCAGGATTTCTGAGGAAGCAAGAACAGCTCAGAGCCTGGTCTCCTTGGGCCAAAGGAGCAGCCCTCCCTGACCCTTCCCAGCAGGGGGCTCTTCTCTGAGGTCCCCAGCCACCATCCCCAAGTCAGGCTGTGAATGGCACATGGCTCCCAGCTGCACTGCTATGCCTTCTTTCTGACGCTTCCTTGCCAGCTTCCCCCACCCCCCCCCCGCCAAGACCACAGCTAATCCAGCACCTGCCCTGAGTTGTCTTTGCTTAGACTGGATTAGACAGAGCCAGCTGAGCTAATTGCGGAGCTGGGGTCCCTGGATGAGTGCTCAAGATCTCTTGGAAGCTATTCTCCTGAGTCCTGGGGTGACTGATCGCCCATGCGGGTGTGTTGGAGAGCAGCAGGAGAGACGCCCTGGCAAGAACCCTGTGGGACTCGGGGTTCGCTCTTAGCAGCCTGCGCGTGTGAGCAGCCTCTCAGCGGGGGGATTTATGGCCCATCAAGCCAGACAGCCTCAGATACCATAAATGGTGAAGAAGGCTGGGAGACGCAGCTGCACTGAGACCCAGCGGCATGTGGGCTGCCTCTGCCTGGGGTTGGCAGAGGGAGCCTGGCACAGGGACACCCCTGGCCCTATGCCCAGGCCCTCAGCAGGCTCGAGTCTGTGGCCTGCACCGTCCTCAGCAGTGGAGTTCTTCTTGCTGACTTGGCTGCTTTTCTGGCTCCAAGCTCTCAGGAGCCAGTGGGGACACTTGTTCCCTACTGCCTTCTGGCTGCTTCTTAGCATGGCACCTGGCCGTGACAGGGAACGTGAAAGGGGAAGGATTGCTTGGCATGAAGCCTGCTGTCCACTGACTGGCCCTGCCACTTGGAGTTCACTCCCAGGCCTCACTGACTCTTCAGTGAGCTGGAGATCAGAAGAGCTGCTCACAGTAATGCGAGGATCAAATGAAGGAAGGAAGGGAGGAATAAAGGAATGAATATGTGGTGTTCCCAGAACAAGGAAGCACTCAGCTAGTATGTGCCGTTATGACAACTGTCCAACTTTTCCAGGGGATAAGATATATTTTGGCCTGCTCTTCCCCAAGCATTGGCTTGCTATAGTACTGCCTTGCTCTTTAGCAAGAAGAGCAAATTCAGGAAGGGAGATTGGGCAATGACCTAGTCAGACTCCTGCGCTGAATTCCAAGACTCTGACCACAAGATGGCGCCATTCAGCAGTGCATTGCACTCCGGTCTGTCCTACTGGAGGACCTATCTCTAGGGCCAGTTCTGCTAGAGACTGAATTTGACAGTTCAGCAGACGTGGGGACTCCTCATCTCTTCAGCCTTTTCCCAAGGGTTTGCAATCACCCAGGGCATGGGCCCAGCCTCCCCTGGCTGACTCCCACAGATGCCCCTTTCTCTGGGATGCCTTCCCTCTTCCCTTCAGGATGGGTGCTAACACCAGGACTTCCCTTACTACATTTACTACCAATGGATTGTTGTTGAGCACCTGTATTTATTTATTTTTTTTCTTTTATTTTAAAGAGTAAAAGAAGGATAACATAATAATGGGGGGGCTTACCAAATTACAGACAAAGTGGTAGGAAATTATCAATGGTTATTGTTTTACATATTGTTATCTACAAGATAGTTTCTCAGGAAAACAAATAGACAAATAATAGTGAGTTACAGGGGCTGGGGATTTAGCTCAGCGGCACAGTGCCTGCCTGGCAAGTGCAAGGTCGTGAGTTCGATTCCCGGTACCGGAAAAAAAAAAACAAAAACAAAAAAGTTAGAATAGTGAGTTACAGACAAAAGAGGTAGGAGATTATCAAGAGTTGTTGTACTATACTTTGGTATCTTCAAAGTGGCTTCTAAAGAAAATAAATAGAGCTATACATGAGTGACCTATTGAATAATCATTAACTTTTCTCAATGGTTGTTATAGGAAACACATAATAATAGACATGCATCCATTTACGAAATAGGATAGGAACAATACAAACATTGGAGAGTTATGGATAGATTAGTAGGAAAATATCAGTGGCTGCTGTAATACATGGGAGCACCTGTATTTATTTGTGCCAGGTCTGTTCTGAGGAAACTGCAATGCACAGGTAGTACAGGGTCCTGGATCCTGCCTTGACAGTGCTGACATTCCAATGTGGACAGGGCAGTGGTCAGCACCTGCTTCAACTGTGAATGTTGACAGTATTATTGAGAAGATTAGCAGGACATGAGAACAGAGATGGGCAGAAGGGGTGCATTCTTGTTGTGTGATAAAAGAAGCCGTGGAGACTGATGAACTGTGGGAAAGAGTGTTGTAGGTAAGAGGTACAGTGAGTGCAAAAGTCCTGAGGCAGGAACAAGGCTGGCTTATTCCAGGAACAGTAAGATGGCCAGTGTGGCAGGCAGAGGTGATCATGTAGGGCTCTCAGGATCAGTAAAAGGCATTTTATTTAGGAACTTCATTGCAATTTATTGCTTCATTGCTGTAGTCTCCCTGCAGGAAGGCCCATGTGTTCCTTACTACTTGTGTGGAGCAAGGCCTGCTGTGTGAGCTTGTGTTCAGGGCTCACCAAGGGACAGGCTGAGGTTGGGCTAGTGTCCCTTGTAGTTAGGCAGGCAGTCTCTCAACTTCCTGCTCTGCTAACTAGCTCTTAAAAGCCTCCCAACAAATATGCCTTCTTTCTACCTTAGGCCAGGGAAGAAGAGATCCCCAGAATTAACCAGGCAATGATCCTTTCTGGCCCAAGATGGAGCCTATCAGGATGATTACTCCAAATCCCTGCAGTGCCCAGGAACATCTGAACTATCTTAAGTCTCTAATTGGACTAAGTCATTGGAAGGGGGTTTCCTTGGGCTAGAATATTTTAAATCTATCTTCCCCTGGGGTGACTTTGTCAAGGTTAGCATTCCTAAGTGACTACATTGATTAATAATCTGCTAATTGTGCTCATCTTGCCACAGTTCCTCAGCCTAATGGTTTGTTTATTTAACTGCAGGCCTGCTGGGGCCTATTAGAGGCTGCTAAGGACAGATGATGTGGTTAAGTTTAAAAAGAAAGAGAACTAATCTCGTATAAAAATAAAAATCAACAGGCCTGTGTATCAGGTGTTTGTTTGGATGAAGAGCCCCTAAGGAAGATAGCAGGTCCAACGAAGGCAGCTGTGTGCGCCATGCTGCAGGCCTCAGAGAGAGCTGGTGTCTTTTCCAGGCAGCATCAGACATCCGGAGCCCTCGGTCTCCCCATGCTGTGATCAGGTCCTGCGGATACTGCATGGTCTGCCCAGTTGCCTGACCTCTGCTCTCCGTGAGCTTTGCAACACGGACAGCTTGTTACGTGCTTATGTTGTTTAAAGAGAAATTCACTGAGGCAGGGTCAACAGTGATTTTAACCTGTCTTTTGAAAATATATTAAGAAATTTAGTCTACCCAAAATATCAGTTCTTTTAAACTCTAAGAAGATAAGCAGTTACTAAAATGTTAAGTCAGTCTATAAACAGTATTTCATACAACATAAGCACATAACAAGTTGTCTGTGTTGCAAA